CGAAAATAACTAATGATAATCAAGAATACCGGCTTGTAATCCCAGCGAGTCTACGCTTAAATATTTTGGAGGAGCTGCATGATTCACCCATTTCGGGTCATTTAGATATCAGAAAAACTTTACAGAGTCCACGGAGCGGTTTATTTTCCGCAGTTACAGAGGGTGGTAATGGTGTATGTCAGGTTATGTCACTTGAGTTAATTAATTAACGATCCTAATTATAAACCGGCCAGATACTTAAATAAAAAAAGACCACTTTCCCGAATGAATTGGTAGGGATTGATTTGCTCGGACCTTATCCTAAAACAAAACTAAATGAAAACTGATATCTTTTAACTAGTGTTGATCACTTTTCAAAGTGAGTGGAAATAATTTCCCCTAAACAAGCATCAGCCAACATTACAAAGTCCGTAATCTGGAATGATCTATAATCCAGACCTCAAAGCCACAAATTTTTTTTTGTATGCTTTACGCATACAAAACGCAGCACGCAATAAACTGGAAGTTGATCTGCCAGCACTATCCTCATCTTCAGGGCAGATGTTTTTATTTTATTCGGCTTATAATTCCTTACTAAATGTAGTATTTCATCTCGATGTACTCTGTCTTTGATATGATTTAAATCAATTTCCTTGTCATTATAAATATCACAACACATCAAATAGTTTTATGGTTGCAATTTTCTAATTTCGACTATGCGTAATGTATGCTTTATGCATGTGCGCGTTGAAAGAAATGTTTAATAAAGTAAACAAATAAATATTAAGCTTTTTTCTTTGTAAAGTTTGATACCCTTTTAGATCATAATTGCTCTTTATTTCATAAATTACGGTTTCATATTTTTAATTGTATAATTTCTGCATGCCATCTTACCAGATTTAAATTGATTATCTATAATTTGAAAAAATCCCTAATCCGGAATGGCCGAAGTCCAGACGAGTCTGGATTACGGACTTTGTACTGTAGCAGATTATTTTAAAACAAGTATATTTTAAAATATGGGGCCCAAGTAAAAATAATAGATAATGGGAAACAATCTGTGAGTCACTTATTTAAAAATCCTTGCACAGGACTTCGCATACACCATCTAGAGTATGGTACCATACAGACCGTAACTGAATATATCGGAACGTGTAAACAAGAATATTGTTAAAATTATTTGGAGATATGTTAAAAAATATCAGGACTGTTGGGATAGCTGTGTCAATTACTTAGGTTTTGCTTTGAGAACAGCGAAGTACGGCACTACACAAAAGAGTCCCACAGAACTCTTTTTAGGAAGGAAAATTCTAACTCCCTTAGATAAACTTTTTTTTTTTTTTTTTTTTTTTTTTTAGCAAAGGCAAAAATAAGTTAAATTGAAATACATCTATGAAATAATAAATGAAGCAATAAAAAATTTCGATGTAGCGAGACAGAAACAGAAATTGTACCTTGATAGAAATAGACAGGAGGTAGAATATACTGTGTGTCAAAAAGTACTGAAATTTAAACATTCGTTATCGTCTGCACTGGAAAACAAAGTAGCAAAGTTTGAGCCCAGGTTTGAAGGACCGTATGTGAATGAAAGGATTACATATGCGATGGTCTATTTAAATTCTGCAAATGGCCAGCTAATAATTGCTAGCGTTGGCCAAATTAAAACGTATTATAGTCATACTGACTTCGAAGTTTCAAAAGATTTATTGCAGAATCCTGGGAGTGTGCCAAGACCTCCAGTAAATCAAACAATTAACTAGAGTCCCCCAACAGAGAAAAGGTAACAGGCCAACAGTAAGGAAGAAAGGCCGGCTTATTGCATGCAACTGCCACATGGTCCAGGGTCAGCAATTAACAAGTGAAAAAGAAAAAAACCACAGAGAGGCCATTAAGGTAAGTTCTCCCACAACGAACACTAGTACCAGCAGAAAAAAGGAAATGAACAGCAGACGGCAATCCAGTGAAACGAGTGAATGGCACCACAATGGAATCTGGATGCAACGAAGGAGGCTTCGCCAGTTAGTCTGTATCACAAGGTAACAACCACCCCAAAGGAGGTCAGAAGAGTTTCAGAGCAAAGAATCGCCAAACGAAAAAGGACAGCCCACGTGGTAGCTGTGCCATTCAAGCAAGCCAGAAAATCCAAGAGGAGGTTTAAAGATCCTCAGGAATGAAGTGGCCCCCAGGATGTCAAAAGAAGAGCTGAATTCCAGAACCCTGAACCGTTCAGTAAAACGGCACATTTCTTCGACAGAGGAAAGAAACAAAAAGAGGTTACACTGGGGGGGGGTACTAGCCAAGCCAGGAGGAGGAACACAGGGAACAATTTTGTCACCTCAGAATGGAGGACTTTAAAAACCAAAAAGATAAGCAAAAATTTTGTTTGTTGGCTTATTTTGTATTAAAAGTTATATCATGTTGTTTAAAGTTGCTAAATGTTGTTAAAAGCAAGAATTTTTTATTTCACAAGTTTGCGAAAAATTAGTTTGTAAATATCTTTTAGTCAGGAAGACTTGAAATAATAGTGAAAGTTGTTAACTTGAACTTAATATTAAGATTTTAGGAAAAGATTGTAAATTGGGTATAGCAGTTATAACTGATGATGTAAAACGAATTTTAAAAATGCTATATGTTAAATGTGCAAAAATGTTGTATTGAAAGTAAAAATTTCAAGTGTCAGTTGTAAAAATACTTTAAACTTGTGTAAATGTAACCTTCAGTCAAAATGCAAGTGCAAAAACCTTGTATAAATGAACGATTTGAAAGAAAGTACAGAATGAATGTGTTAAAAGTTAGGCTCTCCAGCCAACACTTAAAAGTTTAAATCAAGCTCTTTTTAGCACATTAGATGCAGTTTGTATTTAGGAAGTTTTTTCGAGGTCTTGCATGTCAAGTTTTAACAAATCATAGATGATGGTTAGTTGTAACACAACAATGACATACTCAGTTCATTCATAACAAACTTCTGGAGAGCATAGGGAAAAGAAGAGTTAAAAATATGTGTGAATGAAAGCTGTTTGAGGGCCAAAGAATTCCACTAAAGTGTATTTGTAAGGGAACTGGACATTTTTGTAAAAGACAAGACTAGTACTGTTTCCTTCCAGATAATTTAGAAGGACTAAGATGGACAGTGTACTGAAAGTCAAGATGAAGCAGATAATTGTACCAAATGAGATTGCAAATTTTTAAAAATTAGTTTTCTTAGTCAAGCTTGAGATCTTTTGTAAAGTTGGCCCTAACAGAAAAAATTAATGATAAGTATGATTGAAGAAAGAAGAGTATTTAGAAGTTTAAGGAGTTTTATAGAATTGAAGAAAGCAGAGTATTTAGAAGTTTAACATTGAATTTTAAGAAGTTCTGTAGAATTTACACTCTTAAACAAGGTCACTGTGAGACCTTATTCTTAGAGTAGTTAAATTCTGGTAGAAAAAAATATAATGTTTATCCTAAGTTTTTAACTGTTATTGTAAGTTAAAGGTACTTTATTTTCCATCCTAATTTCAGCGTAGAATTTCCTACCAGAATGTGCTTTTAGAATTGCATTTAATCCAAATTATGAGATCCTACCATAAAACAGAAAAGTGTATTAATGGACACGATATGATCTGCTGAATATGACTAAGAAATCAATAATGGATTGGAACAATTACCTGCAGAAAGTTTGCATTTGTACCTTTCTAAGTAGAGCTTCTGGTAAAATCAGAGGGCCTAATAAAATAATAGAAATTAATGAAAGCCTTTTTACAAAGCTCAAGAATGAAGTGAGTAAAATACTGATTGTTTATAGCAGCACCAGTTCCTCAGAATTCGACACGAACAACTGGCTGAAGATCTTGCCTCTTTCATGATAAGTACTTGTAAAAGTTACTTATAGGGTGCAAGCTGGCAGTTGAGACTTTTTAAAAAAGATTCTAAATGTATCAATATTTACCATAAAAAACATCACAAAACTGCATTGCCCACTGGCTATCTACTACGTTCTCTTTAGTGATTTCGCAGCAAAATACCAATACAACCTGAATCCAATCCCTCCAAAAATTTTACTGCAGTTTCTTTCATTAATGTCACATTGTTACAAGTGTATATTTTAAAACTGAATTTAAGGCTAAATATAATGAATGATCTGTGAAAGACATTGCAAACATGGTTGCCAGAATTTGGCATATACTTAAAATCTGTGACTTCTACTAAGTTTGTTGCAGCATTATGTGTATACTTGCTTTTCTTTTTTTTAAATCAGCACTTAAAAGGCACACAGTTATAACTAGTGCCCCATTATAACTAAAAATGGCTTTAAGTATAATCACAAAATAAAAAGATTTTTAATACCATCCAAACTAAAGATGAAGTTGTACAAACTTAATTAGTTGTACTTGATTTAATTTAAAATTATAAAAATAACCCATTAAATGCAAAAGAACAAAATAAAAACATAAACATGTTACATAACTTTTCTAAAATACCTAGAATTCATTCATAAATATATTAAAAATTAATATTAGTTAATTCATGAGTTATTATTATTATAACGGCACAGCCGCGACCCTCCTAGCCGGCCGTATTGATGAATAGTATGATTGAAGTATGGGACTGGCCGGAGGGGGGGGGGAACATATATTCCAAAATCTGAGTCTCAGCGCCGAATTCCAGTTTGTATTTATAATCTTCATTATTGTCTCTGCAAAATCTTTCAAATTTGAATAGTTTCGTTTAATATCTTCCTTAAAATTCTTTCTATATTTCTCTTTTGCATTCCGGGTAAGAGTATATTCAATGACGAAGTGCCTCCGGTCCCCAAACTTATCACAAATTAAGCATTTATCATTATTCTGTAGCTGGGTCCAATTAAAATAAGCCGGAAAACGACCATGATTACTCAGCACCTGATTTACATCAACATTATTTATAATATTCATCTTCTTGTTTAACTTTATATTTTTCCTTAATTAAATTAACTAATTAAATTTCATTAATTCATATTTCCATTTCATTTATTTATGAGTTATACGATTGCAACTAACTTCAAACTGGACAAGAGCATTACGTATTTCTCGCAGTCTAGTTTCTATTTCACCTTCTGCTGCTCCACTCTGCATAATCCTAAAAGAAAATAAATATATATTAGATTTAACAGATTTGCATATGGAATATTTTTAACAATGACATGTACTAATGTATAAGTCTTCAATAGAAATAACAGAAGTATCATTATGCAATTACACTAAAGAAAAATAATCACACTTTTATTGTTTAAAGCAAGTTATCAGACGCACACCAAATTTGGTAATTTCATCATTAGATACTGATTAAATCTGATAACTTTAGTTCTTATACAATTTTAGAATGATTTTGATGCAAGAAGTAAGAATTCAAAAAGATAATAATTTATTAATTTAAAATTAAACTGTCATAGAATATTATTAAATATATTTAAATAAATTTTGAAAGTTATATTCCTCTTCCTTCTGAAGCAAAATATTATATCATTAAAAATGTGAAAACATGAAACAATTATTTTCAAAAAAGCAAAATAAATAATGATGATAATAATGAAGATGAAATCACTAGCCATTATTTTAACAGAAAAACATGTTAACAAAGCGTATACTTTTATAACTATTTCAAATATACAGTAAATAATTAAAAATAACTCTTTTAAAAGGAATTCCACTTATTTAAAGAGTATTTGCTACATCCTTAAAAATTTCTGAGTCAATATTAATGGAAATAATTTTAAAATATTGTAAATACACATATACATTCTTTGTCGCTAAAACTCAATTCAAATCATCTCTATATTTTATTGACGAAACAATTAAATACATTTACAACAAAGAGAAGCACATATAAACTTTGGTTAATGTTTCGCGTTGGTGTTACATCTCTCGCAATCATCAAGGTTCTGCACTAGTCCAAAGAATTCAAGCGCACACAGCGCCATCTGGTGCAATACAGTTTCTACAAATATTTACATCTTACAAAACAGGAGGAGTTTAAGTTCATTTTCTTTTGCTTATGCACGTCACTGATTTTTTTTTTTAGAGCATGTAAACGCTATAAATTCACCTTGAAAAAGGAAATGATGCCCTCTGTCTAACAGATATTCTAGAATGAGCTCTGTGGACAAAAAGGTTGGGAATCCTTGGTCTAAATGATTCTGTTCAACACAGAAAGGAGGAAAAAACTGCTGATAAAGTGAGAGAAAGGAACCATAAACTTCATTTTAAGAATCTAAAAATAATATAAAGGATTTATTTATAATTGTTGCTAATTTCTCTTAAAGGAAATTGAAGTTCAATAAAATAAAATAAAATAAATAATTTTTAAAAAAAAGAGGTGAAATCAAAACTTATATTAAAATTCTTACTCTCCACAACAATGTATTTCCTTCACTTCAAAAAAAAAAAAAAAAAAAAAAAAGAAAAAAAGAAAAGAAAAGAAAAGAAAAAAGAAAAAAAGAAAAAAAGCGCTTCTATATTTAAAACAGAAATTTCATCTTAATCTACAAGCAGATCCATCAGAAACACCCAACTACAAGGAAAGATTAGCTTTCAGTTCAGGGAACTACTTGGCCAGTGGTGAATAGGAAAATCTTTGAAAATTTCTTCCCAAATGATTACATGGTGTCTGGAAGAAAATATGTCAATTCGTTTTTAAAAGAAAGTGCTGTCAGATACTTATTGAGGCATTCGTGTAACAGAAGTTTTCAATCTTACCATTCAATTAAATTTTTAACTTGATAGTGATCACATTATTCAACTATTGGACTCGTTGAGTAAACAGTGAAAATTGATGAACTCATAAAGATGCAAAAGAAAATCGCTACTGAAGAAACCTTTTAGACACAGAACTACCAGGATACCATAAGACAGTTGCAAGATTGACAGAAAGCCTCAACTGAAAAAGGATTAGGTACAAAGTTCAAAATCCAGATGTCCGATATCTGGTATGTTCCAGACCTCTAGATGACTAGAGAGGGAAAAAATACATTTCTCCCCTTTCTTTCTTTCTTTTTAGATTTTTTTTATCCTCATAAAGTCCAGGAATAGAGAATATAATACTCAAGGTGTGCCAGTTACCAGTTTCATTTCTTTGCCATATTGTGATAAAAAATAAGCATACTTTTTATAAAAAAATTTGTACTCAAATCAATTACATGTATTCCAATCAGCAGTCAAAACTGTCAAGTATTGCATTGATTAATTTAAGGTTGAAAAAAATTTAAAAAGATAATTTTAATTATGGTGAAAATTAGGCATTTTACTTGAAGTTGGCTTTTTTCTGATGAAGGTGTAGTATTGGAAATAACATATTACAGGTGACAGAAAAAATATGTAAATACCTGCATTTTTATTTCTTTTCAAAATTTAGTTTTGGAATGATATATTTTAAAACATGGAGATCAGAAGAGTCCAAGCACAATCAGGACAAAAATATCTGATTTCTTTTCTAACACGTTTTTCACCATCATTCCATTTTGAGTAACATACAAAGACTAAAAAGTAGTAAAACCTGACCTTGAACTGGTTTTGTAATCCAGGCTCTCCCGGATTACTACACACATTTATTTGAAACTCTGCAAAGTAAAAAAAGAGAAAAAGACATGCAAATTAGTGTACTGGTGTAGGAAAATATACTGCTCTAGAGGTGTACAGGCAAATCAGGGAAGTCCCCTTTCGTGACACCTGATTCACTTTCAAAACCTGATGGCCAGGGAATCGCACAGTAACCAATTACAAGGCACTGACTGTAACATTAATTAGAACCCTACTTTCACCCTTTTATGGTTGTATGATGGGGTAGCATTTTTCTGTCTTGCCTAAGCCATAACTAAAACTAAGACATAATTATTAGGAGCGGGATATTGTTCATACTGGTCTACTTTTGTTGGCAAAGCAGTGGGGAAGTTCAGTTAACGTAGCAAACTGTGGTCTTATTATCTGTGCAGCTTATTATTTTATTCTGTGTATTATCATTAATCTTAGAAATTGTACAACTGTCAATCAGCCCATGGATATCAGAATTTTTGGCACACTGAAATGCTCACTGACAGTAACTTTTAAAAAATTTATGCAATAGTAGGACCATCCAAGAATTCTAGAAATATTTTAACATAAAATCTGATACATGAGGCATTACTCACATATGAATTCGATATGCAAAGTTCACGTGAGGACATGCCTGCAGATATTTTAAAAAAAGCTAGGCTTAATTTATAGCTATATACCAAATTACATGATGATGATGTAGGCTGCAAATATGAAGGTTTCTGGATATTGCAAGAAAAAGCAAAATTATCCAATTAATCAAATGCTAAATGAAGATGATGTAATGGAAGTCTTATATTATGACCACAATACATCAATCAATTAACAGAACAATGAACAAGTGCAGCATAGTTTTGCATCCAAAAAATATCACCATTTTGGCTTCATGCTGCATTTAAATTTCACATGGGGATGATGCAGAAAATTCTTTCTTTACACAAAATATGCCTATCTTAAAAAAATATTGGTAAAGAATATTTTTATTTTATTAATAATTAATACACTTATTAATATTTAAATCCTCTCACATTGAAATAAACAATTAAGCACTAAAATGACATATATAAACACTTTCACAAATGTAATACCAATACCTGCCTAGTATCTTATATATATTTTTTCCTTAACCAAATTAATTCAAAATATATGAACATGTATATATGACGTAATAACATACTTTAAAATAAGTGCAATAAACATTCATCTCACAATAGATAAACAGATGGCTTGATACAATACCGGAGTTCTGTAATAAAACATATATGCAATACTATTTCAAAACACAATATTATAATGCAAAATTAAATGAAAACCACTAATTTTTTTTCCAAAACAGATGGAAAGTAGCTCTCGTACAATTCCGGAACAAAAGAAAAATAACTAACGCTAAGTTTTAAACATATTAGTTCATACCTATTTCATTCACCCACTAGTATTGAAAGACTATCTGCATTTTTTAATTGTGCACCAGGATAATGAAAAATATGAATATTATAACGCTGAAGTGCCATTGCCCACCTCTGTAATTTGGCTGAATGCGGTGCCAACTTATGCAAATATAATAATGGATTATGGTCTGTGATCAGCTCGATTTTTCGATCCAAACACCCAACACTCGAACTTTTTGAATCACCACACAACGGCATAAGCCTCGCATTCAATAGTTGACCAGTTCTACTGAGTTTTCAAAAGTTTTTGACTGGCAAAGCTGATAGGATGCAAACTGCCTTTGCTGTCTCATTGTGGCAAGCAAGCACAAACACCATATGAACTAGCATCACACTGTATGGTGTAAGGTTTTCTGGTTCTGAAGTGTACAATTTTGGTGCTTCACACAGTCGATATTTCAGATATTGAAATGCTGATTCCTCAACATCAGTCCATGGAATTATCTCAGAAATTTTCCTTTTCGTAAGCTCCGTCAATGGACGAGCTATTTCTGCATAATTCTTTATGTAATCACAATAATAGTTGAATAAGTGTAATGCACTCTTTAGAGCAGTCTTCATTTTAGGACTTTTTATAATTCCGATGGCTTGAAATTTTTCAGGATCAGGTTGATCTTCCAGCTCCTATTATATGTCCTAAATACTTTATCTCCAAACGTGCAAAAACACATTTCTTTACGTTCACCGTAAATCTGAGATCACTTAATGTAGTTAGCACAGCATCTAAATGTTTGAGATGCGAATTCCAATCTGGTGAAAAGATAGCAATATCATCAATATATGCTTTGCAAAAATCACTATGTTTTCTTAAGGCATCATTCATCACTCGCTGAAAAGTAGAAGCTGCATTTTTTAATCCAAAAGGCATCACTTTCCAACGATATTGGGAACGATGTGTCTTGAATGATGTTAAATCACGACTTTCTTCTTCTAAAGGTATTTCCCAGTAACCTTTCAAGACATCTAAACAGGTGATAATATTCGCGTGTCCAATTTTATTGATTAGATCAGTCACATTCTCCATTGGAAAATCAACAGGCTTGGTTACTTGATTCAACAACCTGAAATCAATACATAAACGCATACTTCCGTCTTTCTTGGCAACACATACGACTGGGTATGCTATTTCAGCTTCACTTGGCTCAATAAGACCCAAGCTCTCTAATTCCTCGATCTGTTTATCTACTTCAGGTTTCAAAGATTCTGGGATCTTATAGATATATGGCTTTTTTCTTTCAGCTCCAGGTAACAACCGAATTCTATGTTCACCAACGCTGGCTATTTGGATCTCACCAGAAAATAACGCGATGTGCTTGAGTAAGAGCTCGTGTAATTCCTTTTGTTTGCTACCCTCTAAATGACTAATATCCACCTCGATGTCCCTTCTAGTTGCTGCGCAATCTCCTTTATTTGGAGTTGGTATGAATTTCCCCAAACTCAGAATCATCTTCAAATATCACTCCCACAGTTTGTGCTCAAACATAAAATTTTCTTATTTTGTTTACATGAACATGCCGCACACTCCCATCGGGTAATTTAACTTTATAAGAATGAGGATTTACTCTTTCAACAATTTCACCTGGACCTGTCCACCTAGCATATAGCTTGTTGCTAGAGTCTGGTATAAGTAAATATACTAGATCACCATTTTTAAAATTCTTTCAAACTTTTGCGACGGTTAAAATAATATGCATAAGCTTCTTGTTTTTCCGCGGCAGATAAAGAAGCGAGCTCAGATGCTTTCTCTAAATTTATCTTTAATTCTTGTAGATAATCAACTGCTGAATTACTCAGATTAAGAGGTAATGGTATTTCACCGGACCATGATGATTTTAACACAGCTAAGGGACCTCTAGCTTCACGACCGTACATAAGCATAAATGGAGATACACCGGTGTAGTGCAATTTGGAACTTCACGATACGCAAAAAGTAAATAAGGTATGTGCTTGTCCCAATTAACAGGATCTGTGCGAATTACATGATGTAACATTTGTTTAAATACCCGATTCCATTTTTCCACTGAGCCGTTTGATGCTGGGTAACCAGGTGTCGAAAAACGAGGATGAGTTCCTAACCTTTTTTCGAATTCTTGAGTTAATTGTGAGGTAAAATTAGTGCCTTGATCACTACAAATTATTTCTGGAATACCGGTTCTCATAAAAATATCTAAAAGAGCCTCACAAGTAGCTTTAGCAGAAAGACTTTTTAAAGGTATGACTTCTGGCCATTTTGAATGATTATCTATCAAACACAAACAATATTTATGTTTCCTTCCTGAAGGCGGTGAAATTTCACCAATAATATCTATATTTACTGTATGAAAGGGATATGGCGCGCGAACAATAGGAGTAATCGGAATTTTATCCGATTGTCTTTCCGGACTTTTTAATTGACATCTTTCGCATGTTCTACAATAATTTTCTACATCTTTGGATATGTTCGGCCAATAAAATGAAAGCTTAATTCTTTCTTTAGTTTTCCTCATACCTAAATGATTTCCGAATATGGAATCATGAGCTAATTGAAGGACTTTATTTCGATAATTCTCGGGCAAAACTAACTGTTGTATGTTTTCCCCACAATTTTTTCTTTATAAAATAATAATTCGTCCTGTAAAAAGAAATTATTCTTCCCTAATTCTGCGTCCTTAAAAGAATTTATTAATGTTTGGCAGTTTCTCTGATCGACCTTAAATTTATTCGATTCCGAATAACTGTTTAGTCTTTCATCATTCTGATTCGCAACTGAGCTATAAAAAAGATTTACATTTGACAGTCCAACGGCGCCAACCTCAATTTTTTTTTATTTTTTTATTTATTTATAAGTTTCCAGTTTCGTCTCAGGTAAGACTGTTGATTCATTCTCGTCTTCAAATATGCGATCCCATACATCTGGTGTAATTAAACATTGAACATTGAGCTTATCTGTCAACGCGAGAAAAGCTTCTACGCGCGAATATAGACAACTGTTTGTTTTTTTTGTAATAAATGGGAATAGTTGCTAACGTTGCCTCTATGACGTCGCCAAATGCAGAACTTAAAATGATTTTACCCTTACTTTCTATTTTTAAATCAGGAATTAATGTAGTGTTCAAAATTGGTATTTCCGTACCTGAATCTTTTATAGCTTCTACTTGCTTCCCTGCAATGTAAATAGTAATCTTTTCCAAGGAATAAAAATTAAGTTTTCCGTCGGAACACTCGCGTTTTTGTAAATGTTTAGAATTTACATTTGTAACAACCGCATTGTCCTTCGGTTTACTTGAAGTGTTAACTTTCGGTTTGACCGGGAAAATTATCGTTCTGTTTATTGGACCTCTCAAATTTATTTCGCCTGTTCGGGCAATCCTTAGCCAAATGTAAACTGCTACTACACACACACGTAACATTCTCGCGGTTTAAACGAATGTTTCTGTTCATTTACCACTGAATCTTTTCTTAGCGCTGGTGGAATATATTTAGAGTTTTTGTTGTATGAATCACGAAAATTAGCGCGTTTTTCACCTCTTATGTCATCAAAAGATTTACCTTTTGCGATGAAATAAGTGTCGCATTCCTTCGCTAGTTCTTCTGGACGTAGCCAACTTTCACCTTGTCGAACTGCAACATGGCACGCTAAATCACTATCCAATGTTTGAAAAAGTTTGTCAGAAATTATTAAGTTAATTAAAGACTCAAAATCATTGACGTTTCTACTTTTACAATAATGGATCCAACATGATCTTAAACGAGAGGCGAACTGCAAATGAGTTTCCCCCGTCAACCTTTGAGCTTGGCGAAAATTTTCTAAACATATAATTGGCGATGGTTCATATTCCTTAAGGATTAAAGATTTAATTTTTTCATAATCTTTCAAATCATCATCTTTAATATATACTAGAATATTAGAAGATTTATCACCTATCAGTTTAAGTAAAATTTCAGACTTAAACTCATTTGGTACGTTCTTATGCTTAAAAGCCCTTTCTATGGAATCAAAAAATAAGTTCCATGCTTCACCCTTTTTAGGTACAGAAATCGATAATGCCTGTACAGCTTTCAAAAGCTTATCTAATGAAAGTGTATTTTCTACGTTATTACTAGATTCGTTGCTACTTTCGATTTGCATTAAACGCAATTTCACAATTTCTTCTGACTTTTTCCTTTCTTCAACCGTAGTATTAAGAAATTCAATAACAAAATCTTTATCTTTCAAATATTCTTTAGAACTTAAAAGCTTATCTTTTAATTCTACAACTTTTAAACTAGAATCGGCTTCTTCACCGAGTTCCTTCAACACCGAAATCAAATCACTTTTAACTACTCCTTTAAACATATTTAGAAGAAATTTTCCTTAAAGTTACAACAAAAATTTCTCACCTTTTCTCCAAAATCCAGTCGGCTTCGTTAGCTCTGGTTCTCGAAAGAGAGCGTGCTGTGATGACCTTACGGATGAATAAGACACCATAAGGAAAAAAAAAACGAAACAAACATTTATTAAAAATTAACGTTAAAAGAATAATTTAAAGAATAAACTCGGAGCAGTACCTCGTTCCAACAACATAACTAAATCTACCACCTTCCTTCTCTGAGGCTAACATGCAACTACTGTTTCTCTCACTTGCTGGACTCTGGCAGGCAGCTGATTGGCTAACTGCAGTCAGATACATAACATCATCTTACTAGATTTAAAGCAATGGTCTAAAATCTGGAATTGCTGAAATGCCGATGCTTCCAGATCTTCGACTACGTAATGTATAGTTTTAGAGAACACAGATTCAAATGTGAAATGCATAATAACTATAAGGTAAAGAGTAAATAAAGTTAACTGATGAATCAATAGAAAGCCATAAGTTATATTTAGCTTTCCATGATTCACCAGGCAACTTTATTAAATTTTATGAAGCTACTGAAACTGAAATATCACACATTTATTTTAACAGAAAATTTAATATTGATATATTTAAAAAATCGTTATCTTTTAATTACACGCATTTCTTCTAAACAAGTTTTTTTTAAGCTTTTGGTACTATTTCATTAAAATTTAAATGCAAACTTTGACTTGCATGCAGGTTATTATTATATTTTCCACTGAATACTTAATTTGATAAAAAAATCAATCTTAATGAATGCAGATTTTATAGAAAACTTTGAGGAAAACAGATAAAAATCCTTGGAACTGTTCTATTATCAAGAACGGGTCTCCAGAAATGTATGTATGTATATATAGATGTATGTGTTCATGCGTGCATGTATATATGTACATACATATATCTGTGTGTGTACACACATGTACGTGTACATACACACATACACTTCTGAATCCGGTATTGATAACAAATCCTCTCCTGAAAAAGAGGAATTTATATCACTTGCCCTCAAAATCAATACAGTTTTATACAAAATGTATGTTTGTCAACAAATGTAGCTACAAGACAAGTAACTTTTTTTTTTTTTTTTTTTTTTTGTTTTTGTTTTTTTTTTGTGCCTAATTTTACATTTTATTCTGAAGTCAGAATTTATTTAGAATGATTCTCTCTCATATATATATGATTTGGTAATTAATTAATTTCAATTCTTAATAAGTCAACAACAAATCCAGTGGCAATTTAACACATTTAATAGCTAATAAAGTATTTTTCAACAGCTTAACATTTATTATTGCAAAACTAACATGAATATACGTACCTGAATATTAATTTATATCTGTTCCTTCAGAATTTCAATAAATACTAATTTAAATAGTTGGAAATGCACATCTAAATGAGAAGCAGAAAGAAATGTAAAATATTTTTAAAACAAATTATTAAAAATTTTCAATATACATGAAACCTAATGCTAAGGTACAGCAAATGTTCGACCATCAAGAAAGCTGAGGAAGTGCTGAATTCCATATAGATCAATGTATAAAAAATGGAATTCAAGCTAGAAATGACAAATGAAAGGGAAAAATTTATGCTTATAAAAATAATCATCTTATTTGTTACCAACTTGAATATTCAAAAGTTTATATTTAGAAATATACAAGATTTAAAAAACAAAAGGGGCGAGGGAAGGAAAAAATGCATTTCAGACATAAAAGACAACCTATTTTGTATGCCTTAAACATGAATGCAAAACATCTGATTCAGTTATGATACCCTGCTAAATATGAAAATTGGCAGAGATACCTCCAATCACTCTGGCAGAAATTTAAATAAAATCTTTGGTTATTTCATTAGATAATAAACAGGTACAAATTATGGATATAGTATAAAAAAAAACTTATATTGCTTATCATAATTTTTCATGTTATATCATTGTTTATCATGCATCGTGGCTTTTTCTCATGTTTGGATCATGAATCTTTGAAAATATTCAAACACATACTTGTTATACTTTTAACATATAATATTTTTTAATTTAGAGTACCTGGTTTTCACTGAAAATTGGGATTGAATTGCATGGTTAAATCAGTAAGACTATACCTATAAAACCAATGGTGAAATTCAGGTATCCCATCTACTTCTACCTGTACCTGTTCTAAATATAATTAATTTTTCCAAAAATGTGAGGACAAATACAACTTATATTCTTCATAAAAAATAAGCCAGCATATCAATAATTAATAAAATTTCCATTAAAGCAAAATGAAATGCTTATGACTATATTGGACATCATGCCTATCCATTACTGGAGCTATATCACACTGCTTGGCAACAATGTATACTATATGTTAAAAGTATAACAAGCTCTTTAATGGCACTACAAATATCTCATTTGCCCAATTTTTCCATGGAAAAATCTTTTTTAAACTTCTAAAATATTCCTGTTAGTTGAATGTTGGATATTCAGGCATTTTATGTACTTTCTAGTTAAAGCAGCCATCACATGTGCTTCAGCAATATTTAAAATTAATTTGACAAACATGCTGCAAAGCATGATAACAAACTCTGTGAGAGTACCTGCAGAGTCACAAAACAGTACATAAATATATTATTGCATTATCATAAAAGTTATTAAAAAATATAAATGGACATTTGGAAGATTTGAATTTGTGTTTTTGATTCTTTGTTTTAAAGGTTTCGGTTTGTCAACCTTCAAAAATTTAAAAAAAAAAAAAAAAAATGTACGGAGGGAAATAATATTTATTTACCTCTGTAGAAATCATAATTCAGCTATACTGTAAGGATTATGTTAATTTACCTAACAGTTAAATTTTGAGTTAAAGTTCCTTTCCTGTCTTCCTGAATTTCAACTTACAACTTAGGCCAGAACGTAGTGTTAGAATCGCATTTGAATGCAAATGAAGAGAAGTATTTAACCGTGAAGTTCTACTGACTTCGTTAGAGAAAACCAGTGATTCTGATTAGCGCATGTCTGCCGTTTTAGGCTACTCTCTCTTAAGCTATTATTACGCTCGGCTGCACTTTAAGCCCTTGATAGCTTCACCGTTATTTAGAGCTAAGGGGCCAACTCTGTTTGAATTTTGATAGCTTCGGCTATACCTTTTTAGTTAAGATTAGTTAAGTCTTAGTTTCCTAAGTTCAAGCTCGAGTGAAGGCTTTATTGTAAAACTCCAAGACAGAGTTCTGTTAAACCTTATTGGAATAATAAAGGGTAATTTCACCCTCCTTACGTTTTGTTTTCTATCTCACAAACTCAAGCGATTATTCGCTGATCAGTTCTTAAGATTCTTCAACTTAAATTGTAACTTAAAAGTACACAGCACAGAATCTTACAATTATAAAATCAAATATTGGTACTTTCTTATTTTTCACCCATATTTAAATATCTATTGTGTCACCTGATAAAAGTTTCATCCTTAGCCCAACAACACATGAAGCACAAAGCAGTAAGAAAAGGAATTCTGGAGGCATGAAACAAATTTTCCACAGAATGTCCTTTTTTTGCACTATTGCTCATGATGCAAAATTTTACACTCTTGAGGAAAAGTAATCATCGCATCTTTTTCAGTTGATAGTAAGTTAACTTTCCAAGCATTATGGCTTTAGTAATGAAATTTCAATGTTCCCTACACTATCATGAATAAATGGTACTTTCTTGGATGCAACTCCAAAATAACCCTTTCACTTTGTACTTTGATTCCTCTATTCCAATATGTATCCAACTTACAATCAGATAAATCAAGAGTAGACAGAAATTTTTATATGTAAGGAAATAGAAAGCAATCTTTATATGGAATTTTACATTCATAACTGTTGGAGAGTTAAATATGATTAAGATTAACATTTTAGATTAAGATTAACATACTGTACAACTCAGTACTTTCTATTACTGATTGGCCAGAAAATTCCATGTTCAAATGAAAAATATCTCAAACTCTGAAATCAGAGTCTAAAACTACAATTACAATAGTATGACCAACAAAAAAAGACCTATGGCAATTTTAAATCCTTGCATTGTGATGGAAAAGTAATGTATTACATTTGTCTCTGAAAGTATTATAAATTTTGGTTGTATTTACATTAATGTAGTATTTTTATTTGTATTTATAGTTATTATATCTTTTGAGTAAATATCTTATTACTTACTAGCATTGGGTGATTAGCATTTACCTTATGAATTATGCACCAGCTCAGCAGATTTTGTTTTCTCCTTCTGTCAGTTTCAGTACTCTGAATTAAATTAAAAAAATTAATTATAATTAATCATTATTTAAGATAACTGATCTAAGTTTTTGGTGGAATTTAATTCGATTAGAGGTATGGTTTCACACCCAAGCACCCTGTTGTTTGATACCATTAAACAAACACCTCTGATATATAGATAAGATACAACCATCCCCCTTATACACACACACATGCATATAGTATATATATAAATTTGATACTGTCAATTGCAATAAAAATGGGAGACACGTAACTAAATTTTATAGCAGTCACATATACAAAATTTCATTTACAATCGTTTTGGAAAAAAGTCCTTTGTCTGTACATACAAACATCATGCCAAAAAAAAATCCTCCAAATGGATATTTCTGATGATACCAGAGATTTTTCGCTATTACAATACTTTACTTTGTACAAGGAAGTGAAAAATTTCTAAATCTAAATAAATGTACAAGCATTTTCCGAGTTTGGAAAAGGAGGAGACCTTCTAGCAATGGTGAAAGGGGGCAAAACAGGTTGAGAACACTGTGTTACACATTAAAAATAACATTACTTTTTCAACTGATTACAAATTAAAAAATAATAAACATTTTAGAAGAAGACAAATAATGAATCGATGATATCACATGGAAAATTTCCTAAACAAAACAGTCTGAAAGTTAAACATATGTTAAAGACTTAGTGATTAAGTTTCTGAATTCTGGCAACTAACCTTCTGATTTTGGAGCTCGACAAAGGTGGCCACTTTAACAAAGAAGTGCAAATATTAACTCATACAACTTATAATTCTTAACATAAACATTACCCATGGGAATGGCAGGAAAAGGCACCCACCACAAATTTAAACACTATTTTTTACCTGCATTTGCATATTCTCTTAATTTCACTAGACCAAAAAAAAAAAAAAAAAAAAAAAAAAAGGTTAAATTAATTCAAAGCAATCATACAAATTTGGTAAATACATTCTTTAAGAGGCACTTTTTTTTTTTTTTTTTTTTTTTTTAATTTCGGCCCTGTGATTATTGAAGACTATTAGCACATGACTAACACTTTAAAATTTTGGAACAGCTTTAGTATTGGTCCTTTTGGCAATTTTTTGATTTGGGCACAAACTTCGGTCGCCAAAGGTTTTGAAAATCGGAAAAAAATGGCGGATCGGCATAAATAACAATCTTAAAAAATAAGCTCTTAATTAGAATAAACAGTCTTTCTCTAATTTTCAACATTTCTAGCAC